GTCCTTGGGAAAGCCAGCCAGAGTAATCAAACACAGATCCACAGATTTATGTTTCACTTTGGTGAAGTTTCCCTTCTGTATGTAACAGAGTTGATGCAATCCGCTGTAAAAGTGACAAAAACAGACAATTGCAGTGATTAATTTTACCTATATGTAGAAAATGTTACATTTACATCACATCATGATCACATATTGATCAGATGCTGCTGACTGATCCATGATGTGATGTAAATGTAATATTTTATACATTTAGGTAAAATTAATCACTGCAATTGTCTGTTTTTGTCACTTTTACAGTGGATTGCATCAACTCTGTTACATACAGAAGGGAAACTTCACCAAAGTGAAACATAAATCTGTGGATCTGTGTTTGATTACTCTGGCTGGCTTTCCCAAGGACCAGGATGTGAGACAAAAACCTGAATTTTGGAACTSAAATTGAAAGTAGTCAAACTGAAAATTTAATAATCCAAAATAAAGTTTCAAAGCAAATTAATTCAAATTCAATTCCTGCYGGCACAAGATTTATCCCTTATTTTTATCCACTCATTATTAATGTTAATTTGACACCTGTAGATTCCCCCACCTGGTGTGGGGTCTCAACCCCATTTTTAGGAAACACAATTTGTTCCYGACACCTTGAAGAATTCTGTTTTACTTCACACATGTTCTGGCTTGGTAAAAAGATTTCTTTGTGACATTTTGTTTTCCACAGTGACCTTCAAGGCACTGGAGGCAGGAGACTGTGCGTGAGCATCGAACCCGCCCTGCTGCTRAAGGGCGACATCATGGTGAGTCGCAGGAGGAAACGGAACAGAAGACCCCCACGTAAAAGGGGTGTAATCCTGACATTTGTTAACATTAAAACAAATCATTACACRCTGAGAAACTTCATCCTTAAAATATTCTGTTCTGGCAAAGAGAATAGTCATTTTGTTAACAAGTAATTTGTTCGGTTTGTGCCATGAATCATGCCGTTTTATTGCCCCGGTCTTATTTTMTTTCCTCGTTTTCTGCTGCCCTCTTCAGGTGAAATGTTACCACCGGCGAGCCCAGAGTGCCGACAGAGACACGGTGTTCAGGCTGCAGTTCCACACCTGCACCGTCCACGGAGCACAGCTCTGGTTCGGCAAAGGGGAGCTGGACGAAGCTCACACCGGTGCGTTTACCTAGCTGGAACTCAGGTCTTTAGGAATTAAATATATAAAAAAAATATAGATTATTTTTGTTTAATCAAGAAAATTTTGGATATTTTCTGATTAAACTTTAAATAGTTTGATTAAAAGGGACAAATCCTTTGATTCATGAGAATAAAATTAACTTAATTCTGCAGGATGAAATGATTTGCTTCTACAGATGCTCAAACTGTAACTTGACATCCAGGCTGAGACTGAGGCAACAGAAGCTGCTTGAGACTGGGATTGTGGGAATATATTTTCAGTGGTTTGGACTTCATGAAACTGTGGTGGAATAAATCCCTAAMAAGTAGCAGTTTAATCCTCATCCTGGAGGTAATAACGGCTCCCAGGAGGAGAGCACAGCGAGAATTAGATGCACTACAAGCCACAATGACAGTGGCTGAAATAAAATAAAATAAAAAAAACACTGTTGAGGGAGTTTATGATACACGCTTAGTGGCTTCRCATTCCTTAAGTCCAAAAATGAATGTGCTCATTACTTAATTTCCTCYTTGGTTTCACTTTCCCCGGAATAACAGATCATGTGTTTGTAGAAGAAATGTGGTTTTCTGTACAAGAGATGAAGTGTTAAAGATATACAGATTGTAAATGTGGGTTATACCTCAGGATACATCTGTGGAAAATGTTGGTGTATTTGATGCTGGGGTTTTATAGATGGTGACAATCATGCTTAAAATGAACATTTGTACCAGTACCTTTTTTTTTTTTTCCTCCCAGATGAACGTTTTCCATCCGATGCCACCGTGGAGTTTATCTTCTCCTCTGGACCTGAGAGGATCAAAGGTCAGTTGACCCCAAATTTGATTGAAACGGTGCCTTTAAGGATGAAATACCTGAAATTAACCTCTTCAGCCCCAAGGGCTTTTCTTKATGTTTTTGCTCAAAATACCACACCGAAATTTTAGAGTGTACCTCTGCGTTTATAAACTCTACTTAAATAATCTTGGTATCAAAATAAAGCTAACACTTGGGAGATTATAGTAGAAGTGTAAGTATTAAAACAGCTGCTGTTGTTTAAGAGATAYTGAGGATGAAACGTAATTTTTTTCCCTCCCGCCTGAAGATTTTTTGCATTTGACAGTATATAACCCATTTAAAACCATAATGAATCAGGCTAAAAACTCTTGGAAACCATAAATCCACTTGTGGACATTACCTGTGCAAAGATTCAAGCTGCTAAAATAAACTGGAGCAAAGTTATAGAGGTTTTAGTAAAGAAATAAATTGGCATTTTGTCATTCTGCACAGGACAGACCATGATGGTTCCATCATTAAATGTTAAGAAATCTTGTTTTTAATTGCAAAAGTTGTTTTTTCTTAACTGCCTGAAAAAACCTATTGAATGTTTGTTTGTTTTTGAAAAATTATCCAGATGTTTAATTGTTGCCACATATATTAATGAGAATTYATATTTTACTTCAGTTGGACCGTATTCACTCAAAATAAAGTAAAAAAAAAAAAAACTTTCAGCACACTAAGCATATTTTGGTATCTGCTTTATCTTGCTTTAAAAAAACATCAAAAATCTTTCTTTTACAGATTTTGGAATGACGCCATTTTGTACAGCTTGTTTACTTCCGATACAACTGCTTGTTTGAACTGTTCAGTGGGTGGAAAATTATTTTCCATGCGCTGTTTTACCTCAGATCCTTAGGTTTTGATTAAGGTTCAACTTACAGACCTTAAGTTAGAAGTTAAAAGAAACAGAAAACGGTAAAAACTGTTCTGCTCAAGAGGTTAAACATCTTGTCTCAGGTCGTGAATACCACAAGAACGACCCGGCTGTCATAGTCGACTACAACACCGCTGACCCGGTGGTTCGCTGGGATTCCTATGAGAACTTCAACCAGCGGTACCAAGACAGCCTGGAGGGTAACCATTTCAGCRCASAYGCCCAACAAAGAACAAAAACACACAACTTTGTTCAAATTATTTTATTTATAAGTCATCAGTTTGAAAGAATACRTCTTTGTTTTGTTTCAGATATTGCTCACACTAAAGGTCCTCTAGACGGCAGCCTGTACGCTCAGATAAAGAAACGTCGAGGTCCAGGTTCTGGTTCCCTGACCTCTACAAACGGCAGCAGCCCGGGAGGCGGTTTCTCAGAAGACAGACCGGATCATCTGATCCCTCAAGGTTCTGACCCCTGTTTTTCACCCCACCCCCTCCATTTGAACCATCCGTACGCCCACCCCGACCACCCRGCGGAGGAGCCCGTCCATCCCCCGCCCCCGACCAGGCAGGAACAGGCGGAGCTCGAGCGCCTCCTCGGGGGGATCGAAGGRAACCCGGACGGCGAGAGAGAGACGGCCATATTGGACGACGGCGATCCTTGGCCCCCGGAGAGAAGCGGGACGCTGCGGCTCGGCCGGTCCTGCTCGTGCCGGGACGGGTACCGCTCCCARCGCTGCGCCGAGCCGGGCTGCGACCGCACCCTCCTCATGCCCAACGGCTACTGCCTGGACCGAGCGCCTGGCACCAACGGGCACYGCGGGGCCAACCCGTCCTCCACCTCCAGCCCGGCAGCTCCTCCGTCTCACGTGGACATGTGTCAGCACTACAGCCCGCACCCCCAGCAGTCCCTTCCACCCCCAGATTTAGTGTGGGACCGCCAAAGCTGCCCCCCTCACTACTTGCACCGCGCCTGCCCGGAGGCGTCGTCTCGACACGTGTGTCCGTACCCGTCCCAAGACCCGAACCCTCACAATCATCCGCACCACCCCATGTCCGTCCCCGGCCGCCTCTGCTGCCGTGACGACTCACCCTTCCACCATCCTCCCCCACCTCACGGCCACAACCACCACCTGAAACCCCCCACCAGCCCCACTTACCACGACATCATGCTAATGGATGGTCTGCCGCYCCCTGGCTGTCTTTGTAGGGACTGCAGCATCAGGAGAGAGGACTCTGCTGCCTATCACAGCCTGAGACTGGACCGAGGGGACAGCTTCCGCTGGGACAGGGAGGCGGAGCTTCAGCAGAGAGAGGCGGGGCTCAGGAGAACCCGGGAGACAGAGCTGCCGAGAGGTTCGGAGATCCACTGGGAGAGGGATCCGGGGCTCAGGCGGGGCAGAGAGCTGTCCCTCCACTGGGAGCGAGACAGGGAGGCGGAGCTTCAGTGGGAGCGGGACAGAGAGGCTGAATATTGGCACAGGAGAGCCACCGTAGCTTCCTACGGCTCGCAGGGACAYGATCTGCCGGCCTTCACCTTCGACCCGCTGCCGTCGGGTCACCCGGCTTATCCGGAGGCGTCCAGGTCCCACGCTCATTCCCACCTGGACCTGAAGTACAACAGCAGCAGCAGCAGCGGTTACCAGACGCCGCGCCAGGYGTGCCCCTACTCGCCGTACCAGCCCTCGCCATCTGAAAGCAGGGGCTACGCCTCAGGCTACCAGTCTGAGTCCACGTCTCCACTTCCTACTCCTTCCTCCATGACCGGGACCTGCAGCCATAACGGGCCGGCGGAGCACAGCCACCATCACCGGCACCCAGACTCGTCGTACAGCCCCGACTCACACACCGGTGAGTTTTTATTTAACAGGAACGTGGGGATAAATGCTTGTAACGTGGGCTCATGTGACCYCAGCTGATCACGGTTCACGTTGTGTCTGTCTCCTCTCAGATGGCCTTCGTAGCTCCGGTGAGAGCGTCGGCTGGAGGGATCACATCACCCACGGCTCCTTTAAGAGGGTTCACAGAGACGGCCACGTCGCCTGCTCCACGCCCTCCGACATGTCCGGACCCTCTACCCCCGTCCACACCAGCAGCCCTCTCCGCACRCGGGAGAGGTACTCCATGTTTGTGTTTTTAATGTTGCAGTCTTTGTTGTGACTAAGGATCCAGGTTATAGGAWATTTATCTGGGTAGAAGGTCAGGATGGTGACAATAATGACACCCGGTGCACAGGCTTTGGAGTTTACTATACTAGYTTTATATAAACACAATGTTTTAATGTTTCTTGTGCTGTGATSGGATCTATATGTGTAAATGGTTAGAGGGAGCTCTACTGTCAATCTTTTAATTAATTAATTAATTATTCAATGAATTGATTGTTAAATTTTTCTAAGCTTATTGGATAAACTTGAAATCAAACTGTTTCCACTAGGGGTGCTACAATACATGCATCTGTATGGAACCGTTCAGTTCACACTATGTTGGAACAATACAGATATTTTAAATGTATTTTATCAGCTTGTCTTCTGAAGATGCTCTGTGTTGAAGGATCAGTGGATCCGTGTTCGACTACTCCACCTAGGCAGCATTGTCGAGCACAGATCCACTGAGAAACCTGCTGTTTCAGCAACATTACATTTAAAAACTGTACTTTTGAGGTTAAACAAATGCTCATAAGTAATTTAAATAAATTACAAGTTCAAAAGGGCATGGAAATTTCTCTTTTTTGTATCAAAGATATAGAACCATGGCACGTGGTTTTTTTTTTACTAACATGAAAATTGTTTCTTATATCAATGGTAAACTTTGAATCAATGATTAAATTCAATTAAATAAATTTTAAAGCTGAAAGATAATAACAACTGTCCTGCCCCTGAGCTGTTGGCTTTAAGTAACTGAGCAATTTAGTTGGATAGCACAGTCTGAAAATAAGCTGCTTTAAAGTCAGCATCAACCATAAACTAAATCTGACATAATGCAGCTACTCAGTAGAAACTCATCAGTGAGTAAAACTTTTAGTTTTACTTTTAATAATATTTCTGTATTTGTTTCAGATTTAGTCAGTCATACGCTTAGTTCTTATCASTGTTTAAAAGAGAACGTGTTAAAACATGGTTTAGTCAAAGTTAACTACAGCTGGCCCTTYGAGGGCCACCATGACGCTCATGTGGCCCTTGGTGAAAATGAGTTTGACARCCCTGCTCTAAAGTATCAAACTGAGCTGATTTGTGAATTTTCTGTATCGTTGTAGCCCTAATTTCCACATATTGTGGTGCACGATAAGAAAGTTGTTTGTGTCTTTATGGTACTAACAACAGTGATGTTTGTCTGTTAAAGTCCCAGTCCAGGGAGGGAAGAATATGARATCCGGACCACAGACATCATCGGCAGTGACAACGAGGGCTCTCCGACCCAGGAAAGACGTTTTTGTAACAATAATGTMGTCCAAGAAGCTCCAGGAAGCCCCAAAACCATCACAGATCAGCCGTCGATTTCACTCAACAGAACTACACCGTCACAGACCGAACCCACYGACCACTGCGCTGCTCCCACCGAGAGGCCCCCCACCACCCCCCCACAGCAGCACTGCAGCACAGATCCACCCCCAGCTTCAAACCAGGGTCCTGCATCAGACACAAACCCCGAGTCCCAAACCCTTCCAGTCCCGAGTCCTTCAGAAGCTGCAGCCTCTACAGTGGTGCCGACCCAAACCCAACCCAACGGTTCCCCAGGACCGACCTCAGCACAGGTCAATGGATCTCCAAYGATGAAATCTCACCCAGACGTCCACAAGCCCACCACCCCCGGCCCCTCATGTGCTCCCGCTCCATCMTCCCCGCAGCCCGGACCCGGCAGCACGGACGGCTCGCCKGTYTCCGACGCTCCGGTTCCYGGTTTTGCCACCCTGGGAAGGAGGTTGATGCTGAGCGGGTCAGAACCCCACCACGGACCCCCTCATCACCACTACCCRGGCATGGAGCACAGCGTGGCACTGGACACCAACAAAAGRCCCTGCTACCCCRGCCCGGCCCCKCAGCTCCACCCAGCCTCCTACTGCAACTACTCCACCATCTCCATCCCCCTTCCCCACCCGCAGCCGCCTTTACCGGAGAAACGGCACCCGCCCGCCCCGCAGCCGGGCTCCCCCAGCGAAGGGGGCAGGCCGCCCGGGGGACAAGCGCCTCCCTCCACCACCCAGCATCACGTCACCTTTTCTCCCAACGTGGGAGAAATCGCTCCCCTGAACGATGACATGACRTCTGTGGAGAGCGAGACGGCGAACCGGGTCAGCGTGAAGTTCGTCCAGGACAGYTCCAGGTTCTGGTACAAACCTGCCATCTCCAGAGAGCAAGGCAAGCTTATTTAATGTCATCCTTTATTTCTTTAAAGCATGCAGATGTGAAGTTCGTAAYGTTACGTCGTGTTTGTTTGTTTGTAGCGATCGCAGCTCTGAAGGAGAGAGAGCCGGGAACCTTCCTGATCAGGGACAGCAACTCTTTCCAGGGGGCCTACGGCCTGGCCCTGAAGGTGGCCACCCCTCCGCCCAACGTGAACCACAGCAGCAAAGGTAAAACTTATTCTTTCATCTAATTCCACGTACTGGTTTGTGTCATTTTCCAGGYGCGCAGCAACAGGGTTCCTGCAGGTCCTTAAAAAGTCTTAAATTCATTAATCCAAAAACAAGGCCTTAATTAGCTTTAAAATGTCTTAAAACAATCTTTCAGAAGTCTTAAAAATGTTAACACATTGTAAAAAGGATGACTGTAATGCGTCTCAAATATTAAAATAATTGGTAACATTTATTTATTTTTTAAATATTCACATGCAGACATTCCCCTTTGACATCACTTCCTGTTACTTTACAATACAACTTTATTTGTAAAGCGCTTTAAAACAGCCCTGTTGGCCAAAGTGCTGTACATGATTAAAAACACACAAACATACACAAAACAGTTAAGTAAAATGAGCCAATATCTAATATCATAAAATCAAAAACATCAAAACCAACRTCTCAAACTGAGTTAAAAGCCAAAGAGAAAAAAATGTGTTTTAAGAGCTGATTTAAAAACAGGAAGTGAGTCGGCCTGTTTAGAGGCAGCGACTGAAAATGCTCCATCACCTCTCAGCCTCCTGACTTTGTGACGACCAACAGAAAGTGATCTGCTGACCTGAGAGCACGAGAGGGAGTGTGAGGTTGGAGCAGGTCAGAGATACAGGCAAATATGTCAACAAATGTCCATCTGAGCGACGTGAAATTCATTTTTTAATATGTTAATAATGTTGTCTTTACAAAAATGCATTCACACCTCTTACAAAAATTTGATGTCACGTGCACTTTAAGGTTTCATCTACAGCAATTTGGGATTAAGACCCCACTGTGGGTCCTAAAACTCCAAATTTTAGGTCGTTAGAGGATTTCCAGAAATTAAATTGTTTAAAACTAACTGTTAAGAAGGTTTTTGCTATATTTGATGAAAAGGCAGTTAGATATGAATAAAACAATTTGTCTAATAGCAATATTTGAATGTTTTAATCAAAAATACTTGAGTTTCTGCCACAGGTTTTTTTTGTGTTTATTGTGAAATTAAATTAAAATATCACTTGACATTACAAAGTCTTAAATTTAACTTGCCTTAAACTGTAGGAACCCTGAGCAATCTTATTTGTAAGTTTTGAAATGATAAAAATCTGGTTTTGCAGTGAGCGACCCGTTGGAGCAGCTGGTGAGACATTTCCTGATCGAGACGGGACCTCGAGGGGTCAAGATCAAAGGGTGTCAGAATGAGCCCTACTTTGGTAAAATTTTACTAAAATTTCATACAGTTTGTGTTAAAAGTCTTTGTCARTCATCGGCTCAGATCTGAAGCTCGTTCCTTGAATCCAGTTTTTACATCTGATTAAATTATTAGAAATAAAATTATCTTTTAACCGTTTAGATGTTGCTTTTTCTGAGTTTATAGTTTAAAGTCCTGTCACACTAYAATATTTGTGCCAACTTGTGAAAATTTGAAAGACCTGTACAATGAAGATGGAATTTAAAAAATAAACTGGAAGCCTCTTTTAGGTGTGTAAAAGTAATGCTAACAAATTTGCCAAATAAGTAACTTTTATTAGTAATTTAGACATTTAAAAAAGTTTCATAAGTTTTCTAAAATGTTTTGGTGACAGAACCTTTAGACTGAAACTGAAAATCTGTCTTGCTGTTTCCTCCTCGTTGTCCACAGGGAGTCTGTCTGCACTGGTCTATCAACACGCCATCACTCCCATCTCTTTGCCCTGCGCTCTTAAAATCCCTGAAAAAGGTCGGTCTTCCTGGTGTTTAAAGACTTTGATTACCTGCTCTCTGTATATCCAAAAATAATATTTTCTTTCTTTAGATTCTGCAGCTGAGATAACCAAGTTTAACATAAAGAAAACAGAGTGCTTCTTTAATGATTTTAAAATGTTTGACGTACGACTTTGTTTCATTTCCACGTCCTCAGACCTGGTTGGGGAGGTGCAGGAG